TACATCCCAACTCTCGTAATTTTCATGCGATTCAATTGTAGTTTGTTGCATTCGCTGGGGCCTCGGAGCCCTGAGGCCATGTAAAAAGCCGATTTTTGAATTTTGGTCTGGATAACACAAATATTTTTTTAAAGCTGAAAAAACAAAATAAAAAGGTTGCTCTACGCCAATCAGTCCCTTCCCCCCCCCCCCAAATTAAAAAATCGGCCTTTTACATGGCCTTAGACTAAGATAAGATCTGTTTCAAGTAATTTTGGGGCATTGTTCAGGAAAAAGCTGTTGGAGTTGGGATGTACCGAAGGCGAGGGGGGCTTCCCCCCCTATGGGGATGCGAGGTCAAAATTGTATATGAAACGAAGCGCCATTCTATACTCTGTATTATGCACAAAGAATCTATTTGATATCTCTAACTACTAAAATGCAGCACCTCGGTAAAAGGATTCCGACTTCAGAAACGGCAAGACATTCAATTTTATTTGATTTTTGCACAAAACTACCTTATAGCTACAACTTGTTCGATTTCGTCTTTTTTTTTTTTTTTTTTTTTTTTTGAAATAGGGTACTTCACGAAAATCATTTCTCCCTGTTACAAGAAGCTCTGGCAAAAATTGCAAAAACGCTTTTGAACAAGTTGTAGATATTTCATTTTTCTGCAAAAAGGGCCATAATATGTTAACTTTGCATGAAAATTGCGCCCGTCAGGATTTGCCCCACCCCTAAAGGAGGTGAACCGAGAAATCGGCGATTGAAAGTTTTTTACATTTACGAAATATTAGTATTAACAAGATATAAGCATAATCTTTCTATAACATAATCATGTACCATCTACCTGCATTCCAAAGTATTGCAGAGGTTGCTATCTCGTAACAAAGTCTCGTGAACCAACATTTGTTATGGTAGGGTAGTACTGAATTTCGGGATCTATAGGCCTTCATCATCCATTTTTTTAAATTTCTCTAAAATCCAAAAAAATTTTACAATCATTCTGATACCATGTCTGGATAGAACAGCCTTTCTACTATAATAAATTTTATAGAAGTAAGCCTTTTCTTTTTTTGTGTGTGAATATTTTCCGTAGACAACTTTTCGAGCACTACAAAAGGTACTACTATAAATGTCACTTTTCCCAAAAGCACTGGAAAAAATCGCCAAACCTCATGGTTTCATAGCATAGAAAAACTATTTAGCTACAAAATGAGACATATTACGTTAAAATCGGACTAAAAATGCGATTGCTAGACGTAAAAAAGTTAAGTATAAAAATATAGCGATTTTTATATTCCACGTAATTTGTACAATAAGGTTGCCAGATCTATTTGAAATAGTTTTAAAAGATATATATAATTCATATTTACCTTTATTATCACTATAATAGGGTTATACTACTTATAATACTGTGTAAAAAGATACATTGGGGCAAGTCAAATTATTGTGCTAGGAGGGGGGGTAGCAGCGTGTTACATGAAATCGTGTTGGCAACCGAGGTGTAGTGGGTGCGCGACGAACAAGCTAGGTTTATTTGCTGTTTGGCGGGCGACCCGTACGGTCGTTCTCTTTCTTTCATAAACATTTATGAATAAACTATCTTACTTACAGATATTTGTGTACCTGACAATATAAATATGAAACCATTTATGAATAAACATGCCGCTGACCAAATGAAAATGAAAATAAATCAAAAAGAGGAAGAATGTGGAAACACTTGAGAAAACTTATAGAGCCAGAATTGAGGCGTTCGCTCTCCACTGCACCCCTCCCCCTGGCCCTGCCCCTTCCCAGGGCCGCGCCCGCCTCCCTGGCCCTCCCCCGGGCCCTGCCCAGTAGCGCACAGTTTCGGCGAGTCCTGTCCGCCACGGTAACACCACATTAGGTCGCGGCTGCCACGGTACCCCCGATCCAGGTCCCAGCCACCATGGTACCACTTCTTTCAGCCCCGTCCACCATGGTACCATTTTATTGAGTCTAACCCATCACGGTAACACTTTTTTGAGCCGCAGCTCACCTGTACCCTCCACACTGATGGTATGTGTTAAATGTATTGATAATAAGATTTGGTAAAGATTTGACATCGTGCTAATAAGGGGTGTGTGGTAAATTATTTTAGGCAATACTAATAACGCCGCGGAAAGTGTAATGGAATTACTGAATATTCTTCGTACATGCCGGGGAAATCAATAAAATTGTGGGGACCTCACTGGTCATGCTTTAATTCAAAATCAAAGGTTGCCTTTCTACAAATCTCGATGTCTCAAACCGTCTCGAAGTACTGCAAGATTTTTGAAAACTATGGCGAAATACCCCCAGGGAATGTGGTCTGAGTTTTGTTAGGTTACGAAATTTCGTCGAGATATCAGCAACACGGACACCAGTGCAGTGCATGTTGCAGCAGCACTGAAGTTTCGTTCGGATTTTGCATTTATTCCAAAATTTCCATATTTTATTATTTTATTCAACTATTTCTCCCGTGGGTGTGTGTCCTACGTGCCCCTGAAGATTGAAAGGGGTAGGAGAAAAAATAAATAAAACGAAATTGGGGCGGCTGTCTTTCTTACAATTACCCGGCAGGGAAGTCTGATAACTGAGGCGCGACAGCAGGTGGTTAGTACGTTTTATATTGTTTTTAATGAGAACCGGCAGATTGCATATGTATATTACACAGAATATATATAATAATTATTAATAAAATGCGTGTTACAATAAGTGTTTTTAGGGCTAATTTTACGATAACCTCAGTATTAAAATTATTAACGGTTTGACATTTTCGTTGCTTAATGTTATGTTTCGGTATTCAGGTTTGTATGATTACGGAAATGTGTTATAATGTAAAAACAGAATGTGTATCAGATATTGAGTTCGTCCACATTACGTTTTGCGCTTGTTTAATTTAGCAGTGTTTCATTCGGTGTCCGCCGGACAAAGTTTGGCTCTTATTTTTTATTATACGGTCTTTCTATTGTTGACGTGATGTAAATTTAGGCTCGTCTTTCATATAATTACAATTTGTATAAATGTTTAAGTGGTATTTATTTCATTTAGACATTTACAGGGTGCTATTGACATTGTGCATTCCCCCCCCCATTGGAGCTTCGTGAACTCGATTTCTCCCCTCATCCCTCCCCCTCCCCCTAGGAAATTAGGCTCTGCAAGGACCCCCTCCCCCCCTTTGGAGGGAAGAAGGGATTCCCCCCACATTTGGAACTTAGTCTCTGCGAGGGTGCGTCACGGTCTTTAACAATTACCCTCAGATCTAATCAACGAAGCATTTGCACAAGAAACATCAAGAATCGTTGAAATCAGAGGATTTCATGCAGATAAATATCAAAATTGGTAATTGCTACAGAGAGCGACGTACCCTCCCAGAAACTAAGTAAAAAAAAAATTGATGTTTTTCTGCAGGAAATCCTATGATTTCATCAATTTTCGGCATTGTTTCTTCTGCGAATGAATCCTTCAGGAGATTGAGTACCATTTCTCCATAGACGATCTTGATTTGATAGTCCCGTTAGCAGGGGAGGGCATGAAGTATATCAGGGAAATCATGGGGTAAAACAAGCTTAAATAAGAAGAATAACGATAAAAAATGCGTAAAACCAACACAAAAAACGCTTAAAATCGGCCAATGAAACTAGGCGTGCCCTTCGAGCACTGCCCGAGGGGAGGGTTGATGGGGGGCAAGCTCCCCAACACCCCCTAGGACACATTCTCTCCACCACGGTATGTACGGCAAGACAGAGCTGCATTCACACCGTGAAATAATAAACCAAATACCTTTATAACCGGAAACGTTTGTACTGTTGGGATTGCTTCGATTTTAATCACCTTTTTCGTCATCTTGAAGGGCTCAGATATAAAACTGGGATGGTTACTAAAGTCTAATCATTCTTCAATGCCACTGTAAAAGTCTTAAAAAGAACCCAGAATCAACACAACACTGGAAACGCAACATTTCTCACCGGCCTTCAATCTCGAATTAAGTGGTATGGCGAGCTGTCAACCTGTGGCTGGCGCAAGAAAGTGTGAAACACTCGATGCGCAGGATTCGATATGAGGGTATAGATAATTATAAAAATATACAAATGAAGTATAACATTATTAAAAGACTTTAAAGGCATAAATGCATACCACCAGACATAGATAATTAGCCAAATATCATTAAGATAAGCGCGTAATGATACACGGACTAGTTCGCGAACGCAAAAATGCGTTCGTGGGTCAGTGTTGTGTTTTTCCTCGCAAGGTAAAGAAGCTCATCGACTTTGAATTTGAAAGGCAGCCGCGCGTTATATTTTTGACATTTACCGGTGACTATAAGGCCGGCACATCTTAAACTATATACTATCCCCTTCTATTTTTCCCGCTCTATGAGATGGCGGTGTCCATTTCCCTCTATCTACGCGTGTCCGTGTCTGTAACCTCTACCATCAAAATTAGTTCGAAAGTAAGCCCCTACCCTGTCATGCATACTGACCCAACTCTCGGTAACAAATACCTAGATCACCTTTGGCCAGGTGATGGTCAAAATAATTAATCATATATAATACCCACTGATCTGCTACGCTCAAACCACGGTCTCATCCAGCGCATTCAACAGAGGAAAAGAAGCAAAAGGAAAAAAAAATTAATAAATAAATAAATAAATAAATAAATTCCCGTGTTCGTCCCAAAGGCGATCGTTCCCCTCAAACGCCGCAAGTTAACAATAAAACGATCATTTTGCCTTTGCTTGGCACGAAGCAGATGTACCCAACGACGAGATGAATATCAAAGGGTAAAAACAAGTGAAATTTGATAAAGGAGAGGAAAGATATTTAGTAATGAGAGAAAATAAGTAACTAACGAATAAGATCTTTCACATAAAACTAACTCGACACTTCTCGTATCTCGAAACACTTACCACCTTAACACCTACCCATAGCCTTTTAGTAATCAACAAAACGAACATGGAAGAACAAAGAACAAAGGAATAAATGAAGGAAAAGGGAGAGAGGAAAAAAACTCACGGCATCGCTCCGACACTGCAACTCGGCGGGAAGGAAGACGCTCCCGGTCACTTTTATTTCGCTCGTTTCAGCCTTCACGTCGAGGATGTATATTTCTCCTTCTTCCGGCCTTATCTCCTCATTCGGCTCTTCCTTCTTTTCCATTTTGCGGGGTTATTGACGATTCATGGAGGTGGGAAATAGGTAGTTGTTAAAGTTCCTTTTTCTGTATTTCGAAGAACGTGTTGGGAAGGTACGTGCAAGGATTCCATGGCGTGACTAAAGGATAAATTGTTTTTCTGCTTTCCTGTATCTTTTACTCATCCTTTATTATTTTGATCTAAATTAAAAGTAATATGTTTTAGATTTTAATATTATTACTCATAGATTATGTGTTGCTCTAAAAGATTTTAACTAGAGGATTAATGTTCGAATATCCTTATCACTTATTCATGCCTTGTTGGTTTCATCGTTACATAAGAATGCTTCATAATTTATTTCCGAAATTCCAAAAGAAAATCTTGAAAACTTTTATCATATTAAAGGAAAATATTTGTTTATCAACTAGTATAAATGTTTTTTAAAGAAAATGAAATAAGACCAAAAAGGGCACGCGCGCACGCACGCACACGCACACGCACACACACACACACACACACACACACACACACACACACACACACACACATATGTATATACATACATACCTGTACAGTACATACAGTGTGCGTCACACACACACACATACATACCTGTATAAGTACATACAGTGTGCGTCAAATACACACAATATTGATTATATTGATAATTGCAGATAGATGTACAGATACGATCGATAACTGAGTTGCTGTGATTGATATCAAATCACCCTTCAGTCGTTTAATTTTCCCTTACGTTGATATTGCTCTGAATACTGTGAATACTGCGATATATTTGCACATGTTTCTATATTAGTAACGTACTAGTTACTGTTTATGTTACTGAGGTTCTTGTTGCCATTAAATTCATTATGTTGGCATTGATGTTTTTAATTTGATGTTATGAATGTTGTTGTTGTAGCTCATGTTGTGATTTACATTCTGTTGCTGCTTATGTTGTCATTCACGTTACTTATGTTTTACTTTGTCATTGTTGTTTATGTTATTTCATACGATGTTATGTTGTTAACGATGCTGTTGTTACTACTAATAGTGGCGTTGTTTTTTGCCTTTTATTTGCGCTGTTGCCGTTTACGGACGTGTTCATTTTATCATCTTTATGCTCTCTCTCTCTCTCTCTCTCTCTCTCTCTCTCTCTCTCTCTCTCTCTCTCTCTCTCTCTCTCTCTCTCTCTCTCTCTCTCTACCTATCTATCTCTATGTGTATGTGTGTGTGTGTGTGTGTGTTTATGTGTGTTTCTGTTTCTGGACTGTTTCTGTCCCTCTTTATCTGTATCCTTGTCTATCTCTGTCTCTGTCTCTGTCTCTCTGTCTCTCTGTCTCTCTTCTCTCTCCTCTCTCTCTCTCTCTCTCTCTCTCTCTTCTCTCTCCCTCTCTTCTCTCTCTCTCCTCCCTCTCCCTTCTCCCCCCTCCTCTCTCCTCTCTCTCTCTCTCTCTCTCTCTCTCTCTCTCTCTCTCTCTCTCTCTCTCTCTCTCTCTCTCTCTCTCTCTCTCTCTCTCTCTCTCTCTCTCTCTCTCTCTCTCTCTCCCTCTCTTTTCTTTTCCTCCCTCCCTCTCCCCATTCATGTTTGTTATATCATTTTTATGCTGTTGGCATTGTTTATGCTCTCTCTTTCTCACTCTCTCTCTTTCTAATATTCAATTTTTATCTACTAGTATTTAGCAAAGAGTATTTCTTTGTTTTGTCATAGCATTGATTTATTTATGCACATCACTGCTATCTCTACTTTAATTTGTTATCAACCATTTTATTTTTTAAAAATGAAACACATATTTGATAACAATCTTTGTTCTTGATATTTGGGAAACACATTTTCCTGTTCTCAAAATTTAGTACCACAAAGCAGCCAACTTTTTCTCTAAAGAAATAATTTTTTGCTGATGATTTTATTAAATAATATTTCAAAACTAAACTCCTTTGGTTTGTAGTTTCTTTCTTCTATTTGTTTTCAAAATAATAACAACAATAATGATAATAATGAAAATGAAACAGAATAACCAAATATGTACCTCAGCCTTAACAACCTACTTTGTGTTTGATGTACTTTAATTGAATATGATTTTCATCTCTTATACACCCTTATTTTCTCATATATTGCTAGTTAGTCACCTTGTTGTCTGTTTGAACTTCTAATCAGAGCCTACGACTCCAAGATTGTGTGTGTGTGTTTGTGTGTGTGTGGGGGGGGGGGGGGGGGGGTGCATGTGCTTGTGCATCATGTGTGTATGAGTATGCAGATAAATATATATTCCTCTCTGTCTGCTGCTTTTCTGGTTTACCAATCATATAAGTTTCTTTTATAATGTTTTATTGAATGGAGAGTAATGCCACAATATGACATCAATGTTTCCTTCCATTGTACCCTAAATGATCTCTGTTAGTGATTCTAACAATACTAATTGCAATATAAAATAAAATATTTCCATAAATCAAAGAAAGCGGGAAACAGATGAGATAAGTCAGACTAGTGATTGAGTCATCGGTGACTAAGCACTTGTGGAGCCATCTTTGTGGTAATACAATTAACTAACTTCACTGTGAGAAGACTTCCTGTCATTTTCTGGATAAACCAAGCCTTTTTAATTTACTAATTTTGATTCTTAATTCCTATACACATGTAAGTGCAACAGTTTACATGCACACAAAGTGTTCATCTATTTACTGTCTAACTTTATTAATTGTATATGTTTAATGAGGCAATAGGATATCTCTAATATATATACTTTCATTTTCAAAATTTCCATTCAATTTGTGAGTGAAAAGTAAGTTATCCCTAAAATATAATTTTCTTACCCTCTCACTTACTCACTCTCTCTTCTCTAAAAGATCACAAAAACTATGATAAAGGCTAAAAAAATATATATACCATTATCACTTTATTTTTTAAAAATGAAACACATATTTGATAACAATCTTTGTTCTTGATATTTGGTAAACATTTTCCTGTTCTCAAAATTTAGTACCACAAAGCAGCCAACTTTTTCTCTAAAGAAATAAATTTTTGCTAATGATTTTATTAAATAATATTTCAATAGTAAACTCCTTTGCTTTGTAGTTTCTTTCTTCTATTTGTTTTCAAAATAATAACAACAATGATGATAATAATGCAAATGAAATAGAATAACCAAATATGTACCTCAGCCTTAACACTAACACCACGCCTATCACCTCAGTTAATAGCAAGCGCATCAGAATGTGCCTCCATGTTCAGCTGGTTCTGCAAGTCGGACAGTTTCTTCTTGAGAGCTGCGATCCCCATCATAATCACATTCTCGGGTTTCAGGGCCCCAGAAGTTTCGATGTTGTAGTAGTATTTGTTGGGCTTGCCGGTGGGGTCAAATTCGGC